TGTACCCTGCACCCCTCCTGCACCCCCTGGGGGCAGGGAGGGGGCAGAGTTGGGGTGAGGACTTCAGGGAAGGGGTTGGAATGGGGGCAGGGAAGAGGCCGGGCAGGGGCGGGGCCTCATGGAAGGAGTGGAGTGGGGGCGGGGCCAGGGCCAGCAAGGGGTGGGTGTCAGTGATGTGGCCCTTGGGCCAATGCACTAGTCCTCATGCGGCCCTCATGGTCATTTGAGTTTGAGACCCCTGGTCTATAAGGTGCCACAGGACTCTTTGTTGCTAGATACATATACAGATTTGGACCCTGGTACCTTCCAGCTTAGACAAATAAAGTGTTTTAGAAAACAGGCAAAGAGCCCCATCTATGAAACTCTTTGGGGAAGGTTGTGAATTCTGAGCTTGAATATGTTAACATTAAGGGCATGTCTACACTACAGACTCTGCAGTGGTACAGCTGCAAGTATGCCCTTATAGTCCCATAGTGCAGATGCTTCCTACATCTACAGAAGTTTTTTTTCTGTCAATGTAGGTAATCCACCTCCCTGAGCAGGGTTAGGTATGCTTAACTACAGAACTCTGGGGTGACATAGCTAGTTCAGTCTGTATATTAAGTGTAGTCCAGGGCTCTGTATTTCCATCTAGGTGTTAATGTGAATGCATGATTGAAGTGAATGGCAGAAGGGAATACTGTTCACAACTTTTTCTAATGCAATTGTTTGTCCCTCCGGAGACAGTTTTTTTACTAGGCTGGATCAACAGGATAGCAGTGCACTGGTTGTAGTGAGATTATTTTTTGCAAGGAAAGTCACTACATTAGTCCAAGCAATAACCACACTTTACAGATAAACAGTGCTCTGTCTCCAGCCAAACAATAGGGCAAGCAAAGGTGTGAACTCCATTTCTTTCTCTCATTCACTTGAGTCAGGAATTAATTTTTAAAATCTAATTGGAAGCTTTTAAATACTAAAATTATTAATCATAGCTTCAGAAGCACCTCCCCAGTGAGAGTGAAAAGGTAAAGCTTGGTTTCTGCAGAAGACAGGCAAAGTGCAGAAAAGCGTATTGAGAAAGAGAGTTTTTCATGCCTGCAGTTTTCTAATCCCTCTGGTGACAATAAAAGGCCATACAGTCCTCACTCCATACATGGAATCCCATTTGGCAAGATCAGGGTAGATTCTTTTCCTCTTGCATATAATGCAGTTGTAAGTATTCTCTTTTTCAAGAGGTATCTGTAGTTTACCATAGTGAAGGTAGTTTGAAATGTTTCTGTTCTAATATTCCTCAGCCGCTGTTATGATGGGAGCACCCCAGTACATGCTGCAGCATTCTCAGGAAATCAGTGGATTCTCAGTAAATTGTTGGATGCAGGAGGTGATCTGCGAGTACATGATAAAAATGGAAGAAATCCACAGTGCTGGGCTATGTCAGCTGGAAAGGATAGTAGTGCTCAGGTACACATATATGTGAACTTCACAACTTTATCTTGGAAATATGGTCTGGGAACAAAAACTCCATACCCAGGAAACAGATGTTTTTTAAGATAATGTTAAGTGATTTGCCTTATGTGACTTTCTGGCTCAGATTATATTCTGAGGTCCTGATCATATAAACTCAAAATTATTTCAGTGGGACTCTACCTGAGGGCAGAGGTCTGCCTGTACTTACAAGCTTGCAGGATCAGAGCCATAATGTATAAATGTGCAGTGATGAGAACTACAGCGATAGGTCCTGATCCTGCAATCCCCTCATACTCGTGAGTAGTTCCGTTGGAGCTGTTTGCAGGACCAAGGCCTAGAACTATAAACATTCTGGTATAAATATTGCTTACTTAATACTGAAGCAAAATGTTACAAGAAAGCTGTTGATTTAAAATTATCCCATGGCTTGGTACGAGATAATTTGATGTCTTTCAGTATGCATATTTGAGACCTAGTCAGAATAATTCAAGATAGATTATTCCTTTATTAATAATTGTGCTGGAATTCAGTAGTTTTATCATTTTCACCTTCAGAATTGTCAGTTATTGACATTACCTCTGTCACCTGGAGGGCTTGAGGTTTGCTTTTATTTACATATTCACACCATTAATTTTTCTTTAAATGTACATGTTCACAATGGATACAGCTTCTTTTTGAATGTGCTGAATTTTGGTTGATATCTGCCTAACAATTTTAGACCATTTATGGACAGTAAAGACTCTCTCTAATAAAAAATTTAATATCTCAAATATTTGTGCTGGTGCCAAATATTGCCACCAAGAAGTAAGTGACAATTTTTCTTCATGATCCTGCTCTATTAAGTTAAAATAAGAACATTTATAACCTAGTAGTTCTTGAATACTTAATGTTTTTCAGATGTTAGAATTTATACGGCGTTGTGCATCACACATGCAGGCTGCAATTCAGAATTTCCCCTCTGATTTACTTAGGAAGGTTGGTTCATCAAAAGTACTGGTCTGCAACCCATCTAGATTTAGTGGCATTACTCAAGGGTAAGAACTTAACTTCTTAGTGATTCAGGGATGTTTCATCCCATACTTAAGTATCCTGAAACTTATCATGTGTTTTACTTTTTGTTGTCTGTCTCTTTCTTCTTGACAATAGCTATTTTAAAACCAAAGCTGCTTGTTTAGACATTCTAGTGTATTTGGAAGGGTCACCTTTATATGTGGTCATTAGTACTAAATTTTTCTTGCTATGGTAGAGCCAAACAGTAGGTGGTAACTTACAAATTCTTCTTTATTTAAAAGGAAATGTTTCTCTGAATAAACCAGATACAATTCTGTATTGTATTAATGTTAAGATATCTGGTACTGTGTACCATAAAATAAATCTCATTTCTTTATCTGTAAGTCACTGCCAGTCTTTAGAGGATGTGTCTCTAACTGTTTTATGCTTTTTATTGATAAGTTTGATGTGTCTAGTGGGAAATATCTTTCTGTTAAGAAAAATACTTTAGTGAAAAGATTTGAAGTGAATTCAAGATGTCTGCATATTTGCATTGCTATGCACTATGTGACTTTAAACAAAATCATATACAAGATAATAGTTGCACATTAAAATCAAGTTGGTAAAATATGCCTTTTTTTTTAAATAACCATGCTTCATGTTTCAGCAGGCTATGGGGTTACCATTGCTGTGCTTGCGAGACTTCTTTTCAGCTCTAGTAGGGGTTGAGGGTGGTGTCAGCCAAGAAAGTGAGAGTAGTAGCAACCTCACTATTTCTGACCCAGGCCAAATATCAAGTGAAGTATTTGAAAGGCAGCTGCTGCAGGACTTGGGTATTCTTTCTTTCTTTCTTTCTTTCTTTCCCATCTCCTTTGGGAGATGGAATGTAACCTTTTTCAAAATCTTGGCCTTCACTATTAATCTACATGTAGCTATGCTTGTATGTTTTGACATTAGAAATGCCAACAGTCCTCTGACTAGACTTCTAAAAGGTGGAGCAAATTCATCAAGAAACATCTACAGTTTTGGCTTTGGGAAGGTAAGACACTAGAGACAGTGGGCTCCAAACTGTGTAAGTTCTTTTTGTTTGTTGAACACAATTGGAATCACATTGTTTTTATTTAAATCCAAAGATGGTCCCATGTGTGTTGTTTTCAGACACTGTTAGATATTTCTTACCACTCACTAAATGGTGGGAAATAAATGGGGAGTGACCTAAATAACTATGGAAATCCTGGCCTATAGTCATTAGTGAGTCCTGACTGAGGGATTTATTTTGAAACAAACAAAAGATACTTCTGAAGAAGTGAGGTTCTTATCCACGAAAGCTTATGCTCCCAATACTTCTGTTAGTCTTAAAGGTGCCACAGGACCCTCTGTTGCTTTTTTCAAGAAGTAGGTGGAAGGATCCCACTTGGGTGACTCTGAGGTGGCTGCTTCTGCTGTATTCAGTTAAGATTCAGTAGAAGGGTCCTTTTTTTTATAGCCTTTAGTCACTGAAAGCCTTTTGGAGTGATCCCAATTTTTATGGTTTTTGGTTAATGTTTACTTGTGGTCAGTTGTCGTTTGCATGTAAACGTAGCACTAAGGCAACATTTTTCATCTTCACAACATTTTTGACAAACACTACCTGATTTTACAACACCCTAAGATCACATAGCTGGTCTGCAGTAGAGCTGGGCATAGAACCCAGGAATTGTTGAATATTTCTCCTTGTTATACAGTGTATGGTTTTGTCTCAGTTTTATCTAACAGGGCGTAGGCAGCTAGGGTACCTGGCATCTCTCCCTATCATTTGGGATAAAGAAGTAGTTCAGGCAGATGATGAGCCAACATTCTCTTTCCACACTGGACCGTACATGATCATGACAAAGTGAGTGGACTCTTCAGCAGTTTTCAGGTGTTTTTTAATATGCATCATCATCAGCAAACTCCTGGACCAGATGGCTTGTCTGGATTTTTTCCTTGTGTTTATAGGGTATGTCTACACAGCCGACGGTAAGAGAGAGCTCTCCCAGTGCTGTAAAAAACCCACCTCTGTGAGGGGAATAGCTACCAGAGAAACTTGCATCGCTCAGGTTTTTTTTTTCACACCTCTGAGCGAGGAAAGTTTTAGTGCTGTAAGTGGCAGTGTAGACAAGCCGTAAGTCTGGGCTCTGACTCAGATTTGAGCCCAAGCTCCCCTTCTTTCCACACACAAATAGAGTCTGCTTGTCAGTAAGCACTCAGGACCCAGGTCCTACGACCCTGCTAAGGGTGTGGGTCAGAGCCTGAAGTCTTGCTGTAACTTAGGTCCAAGCCATGCAATTTTGACACAGGTCAAACCACAGACCTGAGTCAGAAGGTCTGCATAGTGCAGTATGGACATGTTAGTATGACTTGTGAGACCTGGGTCCAGCAATTGTAAACACAGGTTTAAAATGCAGCTTGGACACTCAAGCACATGTTTGGAAACACCAGGTTCATAAGCCTGAGTCCCACAGACTTGGGTGTACAATTCAGTGTAGACATACTCATAAACGCCCAGTAATCATAGAAGTTGGAGATGGAAAAGTCCTAAGTTCACCCAGTCCATCTCCCTACCAGTGGAGGTTTGTCCTATGTTATACATTGACTAATGTGTTGTCTTGCCTCCTTTTAATATTCATTGACCATTATCATGGCCCCATCCCCATTCATGGTTAAACCAGCCTACACATATTTAGGTCTATTAATGTTTTAATAATAATAAATGTTCTGGCTAATATTGGCCTCTGGGTGGGGCTCATAGACTGTATTTAGATAGGATGAGTTCAAGCTCCAGGGCATACCTGGATGTGCCTCAATTGCTCAGACCCAGAGTGAGCTGACTATAGATCTGCAAATACAAATCAGGCCCCTCTTTGCCTTTTCTGCTGCTGCAGCAAGTAATTCTGCCAGAAAAGGAGCATTCAGTGGGTCAGCTGGGTTGCTGACCCATTCCTTCCCAGCAGATCTAGCCTGTCTCACAGTGGGTTAATATTGCCTCCGTGAGGAATGTTTCATAGTGTTGTGGCTTTTTGCCTAGGACTGTGGGGATATAGTTTGTCAAGCTGCACTCCTCTTTCTCTCCCCAAAACATGTCTCTTTCTCACTGCAGCTAGTCTTTGGCAAGCTGAGAGTTTATTGCTTGTCTAGGAAGCTGTGAGCCTATTGCCAGGGTTATCAAAGCACTGGCATGTTACTAACAGCAGGAGACAGATTTGTAATCCTGGGAAACTTTGCTGTTGTTTGTAAGAGATGCTGTAACCAAAGAACCTATTGAACACATGGAGTGACTAGAGTCTCCTTTTCTCCTCCTGTAGTTTAATGTGGGGCAGCAGCAGAGTCACAGTGAAGGAGCTCAGCCTTAAACCACATCAGAACTGTAGTAAGCTACGTTTAGCTGATCTTCTAATAGCAGAACAGGAATATAGCAGGTAAGAGCGAATGCAAAATGCCTACAATATGTCAGGTCTTTGGGCATCCCTGAGGCCTGCAGGAAAGTAGAGGTCACCTCAGCCTAGCTAATGACTGGCTCAGAAAATAATGAATCAGGGTTACTCCTTCCTCTGGAAATGGGATTTACAGTTCTACTGTTCTTTCCCCTCTTGAGCTTTTCTGAAATGAGTAGTGGGAGGTGTAATGTGGAGTAGGCAGGATCCCCCCCGACCCATACAAGTACTTTCCTGTGCAGATCCTGGAAAGCATAATTGCAGGTTCTTATGGTGTCAACAATAAAAAAAAATCAGTGCCTCTCTATGAAAAGTTTTCCTACCAGCCTATTTTGCTTATTCTAATAGTAAGTTAAAAACGTTTTGGGTGAAAAGATCCAAGAGGCCAGACATTTATTTCTCTTTTAATATAATGTCTTATTTGTGTGGTAATATTGGGATTTTTCTCCTTTGCAGTAAACTTCGTCATCCTCATTTGCTGCAATTGATGGCAGTTTGTCTGTCCAATGATCTGGAAAAAACCCGTTTGGTGTATGAGAGAGTTAACTTTGGTTCACTATATAGCATCCTTCATGAAAGGGTAAATGGAACGATTGTTTTTTATTTTTAAAATAAAAATTACCCATAATTAGAGATTTTACTGGATACCAGCATCCCCTGTGTTCTGTGCTAAGTTCATCTCATTGAAAGAAGCATCCTTTACTTAGAAACAAAATGTGAGAAATCCTAACTCCCGTTATGTACAGTACTTAGGGGCTTGTCTCATCACACAGCAGTAGCCACTCCCTCTAACAGGCTGGCAGTGTTTGCCTGATACACCCCATCCTGCAGCTATTGTGCCAGCTGGAGAAAGTTAATAAAGGGGTGGTTCTCTTAGCTCTTAGTTGTGGAGAAAAGGTTTAGGCTACGTTAGCTTCTTGGTAATTTCTTTAATAAAGCCAAGTAGGGTGACCAGATCACAGGAATGAAATATTGGGACACCGGGGGGGGGGGGGGGAAGAATGGGGATGGAGCAAAAAAAAATGGCGGCGGAGACAAAAAAAAAAGCAGTTTTGCAGGGGCGGGGGGGCATTAGCAGGCCCCAGCTGCGCTGCCGGATCGTACATAGTGCCCCGGCCACACACGCTGCCCACCCCAGGGCAAAAGGTGGCCCCAATGCAGAGGGGGGCAGGGATAAAGAGGGCATTGGGGGGACCGAGAGGAGGCGCTGGGAAGCACAGGAGTCCGGGTGGGCGAGGGCGTATGGCTCCAGGGCGGAAGGAGGCAGAACCCCATAGCGGGACCGGGCAGGGACAAAGCTGTCTCTCCCCTGGAAGCAGCTGCAGGAGCCCCCAAGCCCGGGACTGGGCGCAGCATGGACATGCAGGGGGCCGAGGCTGGCACAGCCGAGCCACAGTGGCGGCCGGTCTCCCGAGCAGCTCTCCGGGGCTGTGGGTTGGGCAGCGGGCGGGAGCCGGGGCTTTTTCTGGCCCCGCGGAGCCTCCCGCCCCCCCGGCCTGCCCTGGGCACATGTGGCGCGTCCTGCCGCTGTCGGGGAGTCCCCACCTCTCCTGCTCAGCTGCGCTCCAGCGGCTCCTTCCCGGCGGGGCGAGCCGCTGGAGCGCAGCCGAGTGGGAGAGGCACGGGGCTCTCCGACAGCGGCAGGGAAGTTTATGAGTTCCGGGGACCCCGGCTGGCTCTTAGCCCCTGTCCGCTGGCCACCCCGCCTGGGACAAGTCTCACCCCCACAGCCCCTCTCCATCGAGTGTCTCTGGCAGCCCACGCCCCCGGGCCGCACCGCCCACCTGGGCCAGAGCCAGCCCCGGCTGCTGCCTGCACGCAGCCCGGGCCATGCCCAGCTAGCCCCCGGCAGCCGCGGCAACTTTTCCTTCCCCTCCCGCGCTCCTGGTAGATGCCCGACACTCCTCCCTCCATCCCCCCTCCACACATCCCTCCTCCAAACCTCCTCCCTCCATCCCCCTTTCCTCCTCCCTCCATCCCCCTCACATCCCACGCAGCACCACACGCTGGTGTCCGGCGGCCTCCCTCCAGCACTTGCGCAGCCGCCATACAGCTGATCAGCGGCGCGCAAGCCTGGGCGGGAGGGGAATGCGGGCTGCGTGCTTGGGGAAGAGGCGAGGGATCCAATGGGGGAAGGAGGGGACGGAGTCGGGGCGGGAGGGGTGGGCGTGAGCGCCGGAGTGGAGGGCAAATGTGCTTTTTTGTCCAGTGCCCCGACTGAACATCGGTCGGGACGCGGAACAAAGAAGCAAATATTGGGACAGTCCCAATAAAATCGGGACGTCTGGTCACCCTAAAGCCAAGCTCCAGGAAGGGTTGAGTTTTTGACTCAACACAGTGGGTGGACTGTTTGAGAGCAGGCTAGGATAGGCACCTGTTCCCACTCCCCATAACAGGGAGTATATTCTGTTTTTTGAGAAATGAAATGATGGGTATGAATCCATTTTAGTTTCCTGAACATTCACAGTGACTTGTCCCCCATTGCAGATACCAGGGAAATGTCAGGATTGGCTGTTAGCGTAGGAGTTCAAGGATTAGTAGTTTAGTATTAAGCTTGTATGACCCTGTAACAGCAGTAAAGCCATTATCCGTGTGTTTTGCTCACCATTTACTATATTCCCACGTTGTGGTAATTGACTTGGAGACTGAATTATTGCCTCAAAAAACAGAGGGGCATGGTTTTGCTTGACTTTCAATAGAAGCATGACAAGGTCTATATTATTGTTCAAAATAAGGATGTTGGATATGTGCGTGTGTGTTGGGAGAGTGCTTGTTTTCTGTATTTGGAAACATCAATAACAGTTTACCTGGAATCACAGAATCCTGCTGTGACGGGTTGGATCACAGAAACCCTCTGGGGGCTGCCAACTGATGTGCCAAGACTACTTCTGCTCCTGCTTTCCCTGCCCTCCCAGCTTGGGACTTCAGTGCCCTGCCTGGTTTGAGCCAGACCCGCTTGCCTGCTGCAAACCCAGACCCAGGTCTGAACCATGTCTCCTAACAGCTATAGGCTTAAACTGAAAGCAGCTTAAGAAGTGTTCCTGTCTTTAACACTCAGATGCCCAACTCCCAATGGGGTCCAAACCCCAAATAAATCCGTTTTACTCTGTATAAAACGTATACAGGGTAAACTCATAAATTGTTCGCCCTTTATAACGCCCATAGAGAGGTATGCACAGCTGTTTGCCCCCCCAGGTATTAATACATACTCCAGGTTAATTAATAAGTAAAAAGTGATTTTATTAAATACAGAAAGTAGGATTTAAGTGGTTCCAAGTAATAGCAGACAGAACAAAGTGAATTACCAAGTAAAATAAAATAAAACATGCAAGTCTATGCCTAATACAGATAAAAACATCACCCTTAGAGGAGTTCCAGTAAGCTTCCTTTTACAGACTAGTCTCCTTCTAGTATGGGTCCAGCAATCACTCACACCCCCTGTAGTCACTGTCCTTTGTTCTAGTTTCTTTCAGGTATCCTTGGGGGCTATCTCTTGAGCCAGCTGAAGATCAAAATGGAGGGGTCTCCCAGGGGTTTAAATAGACTTTCTCTTGTGGGTGGAGAACCCCTCCTCTCTCCTATGCAAAGTCCAGCTCCAAGATGGAGTTTTGGAGTCACATGGGCAAGTCACATGTACATGCATGACTCCGTTTTTACAAGCAGCAGCCATTGTTTACATGCTACCCTGAACGTCCTCAGGTAGACTTCTTATGTGGATTGGAGCCTTGCAAGATTCATTGTCCTTTAAGTGTTTCTTGATTGGGCACTTAATTTGCACATTCCTTTCTCAAGACGCTGACCAAATGCTTTACTAAGGCTACTTAGAAATCAAGCAAGTACACAGCCAATATTCATAACTTTGAATACAACAATGACACATGCATACAAATAGGATGAATAGATTCAGTAGATCATAACCTTTACAGATATATGTTACATGGCATATGTAGTATAAAATATATTCCAGTTATGTCATATATATATATACATTCATAAACATATTTCCATAAAGCCTGCCACTTCTGGCTGGTTGCCTACCAGGGAGAATTCTGAAATCAATCCAGACTGGGAAGTAACCATGACAAGTCTGCTTAATAAAGTTTCAGGGGTTCTAGTATCATACCTAACAATATTGGTCCTTGCCTAAGACCGTTCACTGGATTACCTTTTTGTCTCTTGGTTTGCACATACCCAGTATAATTCACTAAGTCTAAGTCCTTTCAGATGTGATTTGAGAAGTTGCAGTTGTAATTGTCATTCCTTTTAGGTCATAGAGATGGGAAAATCAGTTCTTCTTCGAATGCTTGTTCATGTCAATTCCAATCAGGTGTGCATGGGCCGCATGCACGACAGCTGCAAGATTTTTCCCTTAGCAGTATCCGTAGGGTCGGCCTTGGTGCCCTCTGGAGTCGCGCCTTCATGGCGCCAATATAGAGCCCTGCTGACCTGACCCCCACTCAGTTCCTTCTTACCACCGGTGACGGCTAGCTGGAACTCCCTACCATTCTTGCCTTGGCGAGCGCGTGCTTCACAGTATCTCTATCCTCGTGTATGTAGTTAGCACAGTAGTTATAGTTAGTGAAGATTTTCTTATAAGTTGCCTTTGGGGTGGTCTTTCCCCCAGTGTTTTTCACCGGCACCGGGTATACCTCGGTACCAGGGCTTTAAACTGTGCTTGGACTGTGGCAGGTTTATGTCAAGAAGTGACCCGGTCGCACCTTAAGTGTCTGGGCAAGGGGCATCTCAGAGACCGCTGTAAGGGCTTTTGTACCTGGACGAAAATTATCTGAGTAACTTTTTTGGTGAGGCAAAAGAGTATGGGATTTTGGTGTAGTGTACACTAACCATAATTCTAGGGGTTTTTTTGTTTTGTTTTTTACCATCTTGTCTGTTTTAGGTCTTTTAAACTTTCACTTGTTAAATTTCACTGGTGCCATCTGCTGGAGATTTTAGTTAAATACACCTATTTTCTTTTTCACTTAATTTTAGCCATTGTCTTGCATTTAGTTCAGGGGTCGGCAACCTACGGTACGCGTGTCAAACACGGCACGCGAGCCGATTTTTGAGTGGCACGCTGCCTGCCCGGTGAGAGGAGGAGGAGGAGGGGCGGAGGGACCGGAAAGCGCCACACTGGGGGAAGAAGCGGGGGAGGAGGGAAGCTTGGCTGCCCCCCCACCCCACTCAGCCCCCCCGCCCACCGCTCTCCCCTGTGGGGGCAGGAGGCAGAAGCTTGGTCCTGCGGCAGCCAAGCTTCCCCCCTCCCCTGCTTCTTCCCACAGTTTGGTGCGTTCCGGCCCCTCCTCCTCCCCCTCCCTCTCCCTGCCGGCGATGGCCCTGGGGAGTGGGAGGGGGAGCGGAGCAGAGCCGAGCGGCAGCGTGCTCGCTGCTCCGTAGAGCAGGCAGAGAGAGGTAGGGACGGGCCTTGGGGAAGGGGGTGGAACAGGGCATATCCCTCCCAGCCCCCTTGCAATGAGCCGCTCAGGGCAGGAGGCTGGGAGCACCCCCACGAGCTGAGCACCCCAGCCTTCTGCCCTGCACCCCCCCCCCAGCCCTCTGCCCTGACCTCCCCCCAACACCCAGCCTTCAGCCCTGCACCTCCACACATACCCAGCCCTCTGCCCTGAACCCCCCCACACCCAGCCTTCTGCCCTGCACTTCCACACCAGCCCTCTGCCCTGACC